TTGTGATTTGTATGCTTGTGGCTACTTTTATATGATAAAGTAGAAATTTGGCTATTAATCTGATAATGTGTGATTGGCGATAGTTGGCTATTTGATAAGAGTAATCTGGCTACACTAATCATCAAAAACCTGGCAACCCTGACCACAAGTCGTTGTTCGAAACATTAACGTCCTACATGGCTACAACCTACACAAACACAACATAATACAATATTATTCCGTAAWCGGCGTAATCTAATTGGGCGCMGTCGCGCGTCGTAGCTGCAGACGGCGCGGGCGCATGGTTGAGTTTAGAGCTTAAAATAGACAATAGTTTATTATTTGATATTATTATTTTAAATTTTTACATGACAATTATTTTAAGATTTTGTAAATTAAATTATATAACCATGTAATATACTAATATGAATTACAAATTACAATATTACACACATGTATGACATCAATGTTTAGGGCGTTAACACACAACTTGTACACCCAGAGAAAACGCCACTGCTATATATATGAGTCACCGGTAGCTAAAAATCTTAGCGTAACTGCGAGCCTTTCTTGAACTGGTATAGCTTGCCTCATAAAAGTATCAGATTTTTTTATTATTGGCTCTATTTTGCACAATATATATTCAAAATCTGAACTTGACACTCTTAAAAAATCATGAAATGAACCTAGTAATTCAAAATTTAATTCATTTAATAATACTAATACATTTGCAACTTTTCTACTCTGCAAATTTGGGCGAACCCACCATTTTTTTTCCCGCGCTTTTGTATGATTATTGTACGCATACAACAATGCAAGCGCACAAACGACATCCTCCTCCGATGACATTTTGGCACTAACTGATTTAGTCCAAATTATTGTCTACTGGAAGATAATCGGGAAATAAATGCCGCACCGTGTGGACGCGTATTTGCCGCGCGGCACGAGGCCGATGCAGGCCGGGCGACCGTGCCGCGCGGCAAAAGCTGCACCGTCTAGACGCGCCTWTAGAACTATTTCTTTTTTGCATTATGTGCAATTATTAAATTCACCAAAACAATTTTGGAAAAATAATAAAACGAAAATATCCAATAACCGTAAAAATCAAGTACACAATATGAATACCAAATACGGAATAACTATAATAAGATAGTAATCAATAAAACAACATGAAGAAATTATGTTGGTGGTATAAAAATAGCATTTCAAGTTTCAAAACTTATAATTTTCCTTTTATATCTAAGATTTGAAAATGTAATACAAAGCTCCTTACAAGTTTTTCAATCTTTATCACAAAAAAAAATGTCCACCGGAAATTCAAATTAAATTTTTATTAGCATTTGAATTTCAAATATTGACAAAAATTCGTCAAAACCATGAATATTTGCAAATTATTTTGTAGTTCAAAATTCATAATATTGTTTGTATTTATATCTAAGGTTATAAAATTTAACAACAAGTTTTCCATAAGTTTTGCTTCAAWTAGCTATAGAGAAAATTTGAAGTGTCATTATAGGAAAAATGTTTTGAGCGTTTGAGTTTTAAATTTTTATGAAATCGCGTAATGATAACGATTTATCCTCAAACCAGCCGGTATTCGTATATCTATGATAATATAAGGTATTATGAATTATGATAACTACATGATAATATAAATGCAACTTAATTGAAAAATAAAATATTTATTTCAAAATAGAATATATGACAATATTAAAATATAAAATATCCTAGACTGACAAATCATCTCCGTTCAGAATCGTTTTTCGTATACAATGATACATATCATTGTATTCAAATTTAATCCCATCCATTACAGTAACCTACTGTACAGCAGAGTGACATCCACGACTTACCCGCTTTTTTTTTTTAAGTTAAATTGTGTAAAACATAAGCTGCAGTCACAGTTAGACTTATCATTTCAATTGTCTTTGCTTCTATAGACCTTAAAATATGTGACTGCTATCTTATAAACATTTAGAATATACAATTCATTTGGTGAATCTAATTACTTAAGTCTCCGAAATCGTCCAAGTAATAAACCAAATGCTTGTTCGATGACAACACGGGTGGAACTCAATCTCCTATTAAATAATTTCTCTCTATCTGAGTCTCTTAAGTATTATAAAATAAGTTATATTTCATAAATATAACTAATATTTCTTATTAAATAGGATTGTACTTGTAGATACATATTTGTTGTTACTGACTATATTTTATATTTTACACTTATGTATTTTATAATATAATTTGCAAAATGTATGATTCTGTCTCATATAAACTAATATTATCTACCTGTTTCAGAACTTCCTCTTGGCCATATGATGAAATCATCTATAAGTTTTGAAATAGCATGAATATATTTATGAATTGTCCGGCAAGATAGACCCCTACTTAAACCAAAACGATCTCCAACTTGACTGTAAAAATTTACAACTTGATAACCATCAAAAAATAATAGAATAGGTACTACAGACTATAAATTAAAAACATATAATAAGCAGAAGGATATAATTATTATGTGTTAATTAGATACTTACCGAAACGTCTCAGTATTACTCATATACCATATGGTCATTAATGTTGCTTTATTAAATTCAACCTTAGACCTTCCTATTTTACTAAATATAAAATATAAAATGGTTTTACTTTATGCATCAATACCTATGACAAAAAAAAAATTAAACAAAATAAGTACTTAACAAAATATGAATTATTATTTTAATATTAAAAATGAAGTGTTTACCTCAACTGAATTTCTGTTAAGTCTAAAATKACTTTTAAAATCTAAGTCGTTGTACAAATTTGTAACTAACATGTAGTTAGTAATACGGGCTTTAGGGCCGTTCTTACAATGTCCGGTTAAGTGTCGGTTAAGACTAACCGATAGAATTCTACCGGTTAACTCATGATAAATTCTTCCGGTTAGTGTTATCAGGCACTAACCGAGCATTGTAAGAATGGCCCTTAGTGTTTTTTAGTTGATTTATCAGTAACATTTTTTTCTTATCCAAAGAAGTATTCATTTCTTGAAGATGGTTTTAAAAAAATATTAAATAGATATGTTWTGATGATTCATATTGAATATTTAATGCACAATCTTCAATGGTGTATTAGTTTACGAGTTTACGACGACCTTTATTATACAGCAGTTAATAATTAAATTTATCGTATATTTTCGTATTTCGTATAATATGTAATTCAGGGTTGTCGTTGTATCACAGAATTTAAATTAATTAAATTAATCTATTCTGTGGTTGTATGATAAACAAAAATATTTATATCTGGGAATGGGTCTATGGTATCAAACAATCTTTTTCGATAATATACTACCACAGAATAKATACTACTATATACTGTTCCTAAACTCCAATCAATCCGCTGGATAARCCTCTGGATTACGTGATGAAATTAGGAACACACGGATCATTAATGATTGATAATTGTCACTAATCACTATCCTAGGTTAGGTTAACGATTGAGATATCATATTAATGATTTGCATCATTTTGTTGTGGCATTTTAAGTGGACGCAAATTCAAATGCCCAGAAAATTAATGAAAATGTTGAAAATATTTTACAATCTTTAGTATTCGGCACTAGGAACAAAATTTTGCCGCATAACCGGCGTTATTGACACTAGAGATTAGCCTGTTGGCCTTGGCACCAGTCGCAATCGCAAGCTGTGACACCTACAGCAGCAGGCTGTTAACTCGGATTGGTCGACGTAGTTATCAATATTATTTGCATCTGCCACACTGCCCGCACTGCCACACTACCCGCACTGCCACCCAGTCAGACGTCACCCACTAGAGGCGTCCTGACGTCATAGCCACGTAGGTATTTTGATAAATGATATGAATAAGATTAGTTATAACATCATTCTAACCTTCTAACTCGTTAATTTAATATACATGTTCTGAAACAAGAAATTAAAAAAACACATTGCGAATTTTAGCCCAACTTAAAATAATTTTGAGCACATCAAAATTGTTTCTTGTTTTTAAAGATTTTTTGTATCTTTTTTGATTCAGTTATGGATCAAAATCCTATTGATGATTCCTCAAGAAATGTTCATGATTTGGGTCCAATTTATTTTGGAACTCTACACGATGAAAGTGAAGTAAATGAAGAAGAACTTCGCCCACCAACTTTAGGGAATAATCGGAATTTTCAGCGTTTTCAAGGTTGGTATCAAATGATTTTAACATTAAGTATACTTGCTTTTAATATTTTAACATTATACTTACTTTTGATATTTCTACCAATTGTRTAGTAAATAGGTAATATTATTAAATATGTTACATAATAGTAATCTTTGAAAAAACTATTTGACTATGATCTGTTTATCAGCATGTCGTACCAATATGATTTTTGTTTTGATATTGTTCTCTTAGCAGACATATTTTAGTGTAAAGTAGTGATGGGATTTATAGATTATTTATATGAATTGTTCCTCCTGTTTCAGGTCCATGAGAAGGACAAGTACTAATATTTTGTCCCTTATCGTTACTTTTATACAATAGGTACCATTCTAATGATGCATTACATTTTCGTGTGGGTATTTTACTACAGGGTATACATCATGTTCTAGTATTCTAGATCTAATAAATATTTAATCATTTATTGATTTTTAAATTCCCCTATACACATTATTTACCAACAAAGATAAACAAAAAATAATTTATATTAATCTGTTTTTTTTATATATAATCAATATAATATAGTACTTATAATTTACGCTTCACAGTTCACAGTGAAGACCACATTAAAATGCATGAAAATATTATGTTGTAACCTAGTCAACTATATGTAGTCAACACATTCAACCTTCATCCATCATTAAWAAATTAAGATGCGTATTTTAGCGTTAGTATACTTTATTTAAATATCATAGGGTATAATAATAATAATTCGCACTGTCAGAATATTAGTGTTGTAACTCAAAAAACCCTATTTTGAGAAAARCGAGTTTTTGATTTGACAGCATTGTAAAACATTTAAACATCTATTAAAAATAAGTATTCCACTTATTATCATCAAATTTTGGCTACAAATTTTCTTGATGTTCATGTATATATTTATAATATCAAGTTAAAAAATAAATATTTTCCTTCTTATAGGAATTAACTTTTTTTTGAGTTAATACAGTAATGCTATAAATATTTCACAACAAATTTCCCAATTACTACAATAATAACTTAAATGTTTCATTAGAAATGTTTATTAAAATTAATAACTTTGACATTACATTTTATATAGGTATTTAATACTTACTTTTCTTTGGTAAAAGTAAAAATGGGTTGTACACTTGTACCTGAACTAGGTATTTAACTATATAGGTATTTAATACTTACTTTTCTTTGATAAAAGTAAAAATGGGTTGTACACTTGTACCTGAACTAGGGCAATATTTTTAAATACAAATAATTTTTGACACAACAAACAAATTTATTAAAAAATTTTAAAAAATGTAAAARAAATTTGAACAATTTTTTACGAAATTTAACAAATTTTTTAAAATAAAAACTAAACAGTAGGAACCTTTTATAAAATTAAAATACATTTTGT